ATGAATCTTCCTTTGAAGCAAATAGGGTGTGGGTTGTGCTACCCCGGGAGTCATAATCAAGTGCCTGTCACTGCTTATACCACAAGACGACTTTTGCTTTGAAAGTCCTACATCAAACTAGCAGAAGTATTCTGAACTTGAATATCTGTTTGTCGCCCTAACCCTACTGATTATTACCTATTATTATAACCTGCAGATGGCACCCAACACCTTCCCTTTTCTGTACATTCCCCATCCTGGTGGCTTTCATTTCACTTTTAAATTTAGGCCAGCTGCTACTAAGAACATGAGAGCGGGTTACGGCATTGCGGTCCCACAGCGAATTTCGCAGACGCCCCTCAATTTATAGTTAGCACCCTCGTTGACAGGCATAATTTCCCTGCTATCAGTGGGTATTCACCCATGTCTGCGAAATTATATGAAACACACCGAGACAGATATGCTGCATGTTGGTATGCTCGCAGAGGGAGGAATGTATGCGAATGATAGCTTCCTCTAGCAGAGTGAACTAATGCCCACTCATTGGATGTGCATCGTGTTAGTAATTATTTGGGTGGAGATCTCAGAATGTTGCTTTTTGTAAACTTTCCCATGCTCTTGGTGTAGTTTTTCCCGATTTGGCATGAAGACACGTGCATCATTAACATGGGATACCCATGTTGAAAATTCAAACAATCGGTCGGTGCCCATGGCCAAGATGGACGGCAGTTTTCGCGTTTTTGATTCACTAAGGTCAGCAACTGAAACCTCGTCCAAATACCCCTTCCATGCCATTTCAGGCATGGTAATCTCTGCTTGCACCACCTCTAGGGAGCCCCATTTTTCGCAATGTCGCTAGGTTTCCTAACTTTCTTCGTTACCAAAACACTATTCTCCACCACCACTTCTGCTTTCAAGCTAAGAATGGTCCTTGAAATTATTCATTTGATTATTAAAGTACATCTTAAGGGTGTGCTCATCAATCGAGTAGAAAAAATGGGGTTCACAGTTTGTCTGTAAGCAGGAGAAAAATAAAATTATCCTAAGCTTTACTTTAAAGCTAGATTTACTGTCTTTTTTCAAAATCCTACTTACTATAAAGCGCTTCATCTGCCGTTCTGTCCGTCTGTCTGTCGTCTGTCTGCATGTCTGTCACAAAATTCCTTAGCTCCTTTAGATCTGCTTGGAGAGGCCGAGTCGAGCGTGGGATGGGTAAGCCATGTCTGAGAAGTATAAAGCGCTCATGAGCTTGGCGGAGTCCCGCTCACAGTGGCGGTGGCGTGCATCGAAATGAGCTGTACTGAGGCCATAATTTTAAATTCAGTCACAAGACGGCTTCAAAAATGGTGTTTAAAGGTGGCTAGAGGTGTGCATTGGTGAGTTAGATTGAACTGGGGAGACCCACCCCCGATGGGCGAGGCGTTCTCCAAAAGTGCGATGCTTTTTGAAAACATTTATAACTCGATTTGGAGAAAGCCAACAGAGCAGGAAAAGTTAATATAGGCGAAGCATTGTCGAAGGTGTCTCCAGCATGGATGCGGAGGCCCAACCACAATGAGCGGAGCGTGCCTCGAAGCTCACATCCTTTTTCATTTTTATATACGAAAATTCATAACTCCGGTTCCCATAGACCTAGAGTGTTCAAATTTGGCAGGAGTGCAGGCGGCATGATGGGAAAATTTATAGTGGGTGGCAGAACCGGACTCCGTCCACATAGGGCGGGGTTTGGGCGAAGATTCTAACTCCTGTCTCCATGGACCTAGATAGCTCAAACTTGGTAGGAGTAATGCCGCACGATGGGAACCCCGCCCACAGTTGGCCAGTGGGCGGGGTTTGAGTGAAAATTCATAGCTCCTGTTCCCGTGGACCTAGAACGCTCAAGTTTGGTGGGTGGTGCAGGCGGGGAGTCCATTTCAACACGGAAGGAGGGGAGCCCGGCATCAGCCGGGCAGGCCGATATATTGTGTATACAGAAGTGTTGCTTTGATAAATTACATGTTTCAAAATTAAGTGACATGTATACCATGCTAATACTCCAGCCGAGCTGGACAAACTTCTCTATTACACATCATACGCCCTTCTTGAACTGCTTGGCGGCAGTCCGAATTTTCGTGATCTAGCGAAAAAATTTCATGCTTCCCATGAGACAAAAATGATGGCCGCTGCAGAGGTGTCAGGGAAGAGGCTCGGATGATAAAGGTTTATAATGAAAATCGGCATTAGCTTAAATTTTTGAATTGAGATTTTCTTACATGTTTTCTTGTTTCCAAACGATGGTTGACCGGTTTCCGAAATTGCAGTTTCTAGAAGTCTTTTTCACACCTGAGTAATATCTTACGGTTCTGTGTGGTTAGATAAAGGTGATCAAGTTACAAATTCTTTTATTTTATTCCAGAAGTAAAGGTTCGTGCGATGTCAGCGATGGTATCGGCTGATTTGGACAATATTCTCGACGACAAGCTTGATAATGAAGAACTGAAGGTGAAAACGGGAAAGAAGATCGTCAAATTCTAATGCTCCTGGCCGTTATAGAATTCCATAGTTGTTGAGTTCGCCCATTCCATTTTAGGATCAATTTAAGTGTGATTCAGCGTTTATAGAAGCATAAGAATGAGGAGGCTACAATATTAAGGTATATAACCTTTTTATTCTTGTCACTTCCATTCATAGGAAGGAGTTCGTTTTTTCGCTGTAGGAAAGTACAGAATTCCTGAGGGGAATCACATGCTGAGTCTCTGTTGTATAAAACTGTTTGTATACTCTTGCTGCTAAGTGTATTCACATTCTTTCTGTTAAGGTAGGCTTTATACAGGGTGCGCCAAAATTACCTGCTCAAATTTGCAGAGTTTGACCTATCGATTAATGCGGCAATGATCTATCGATTAGCCGCGAACATGTTAGGCACTTCTTCCTTTATCAAGAACCCAAGCTTCGATCCTCAGCTCTTGCTCCTTTCAAAATGGTTGGACCTCATCCTCTCAGACCCGCGATTGTTCAGTTACACCAGATGGGTCGCTGTTCCAAAACCATCGCAGAAACTATCAGTCAGCAGAAGAACAGTGGACTCCACTATCAAAAGATTCAAGGAGCTCGGTACTTTAGAAGACCGCCCAGGAAGAGGAAGAAAAACGACCGCAACTTCTACGAGAAATGTTAAAGTTGTACGGGATATGGTGCGACGCAATCCGAAGAGGTCGATGATGAAGATTGCCAAAAAGCTGGGAATAAGTCATACTTCCGCTTGCCGTATAGTCAAAGAGAAGTTGGGATTGACACCTTATCGATGCCGAAAGGTGCACCTCCTCACTGCATCTATGAAGAAAAACCGGGTCCAGAAGTGCAAGATGCTCCTCCAACGGTTCGCGTCGGCGCGCCACCGAGACATTGTCTTTTCCGATGAGAAACTGTTTACGTTGGAGTCGACCTTCAACCGTCAAAACGATCGGGTGCTCTGCTCGACAGCTGAAGAAGCTAACGAGAGTGGAAGAATTCATGGACGCTCTGGGCATGCAGAAAAAATCATGGTGTGGGCAGCGATCACCTACGAAGCGAAGTCCCCGCTGGTTTTCATCGACAGCGATGTTAAAATCAATACGGAGGTCTACTTACAGAGCGTGCTGAAAACACCTTGCTTCCCTGGACACAATGTCACTTCGGCTCTAGACCGTTCGTGTTCCAACAAGATTCAGCAGCGGCTCATAGAGCGAAGGTGACGCAGCAGTGGTGCCGAGATCCCAGGATTTATCACTGCTCAGGAATGACCATCTAATAGCCCTGATCTGAATCCAATGGATTATTCCGTATGGTCGCTATTGGAGAGCAAGGCCTGCTCCATGCAACACCACTCAATCGATTCGCTGAAGAGGGACCTGCTCAGAGCATGGGAAGAAATACCTTTGGACTACCTTCGCGCCACAGTGGACGACTTCCCCTCACGTCTGAGGGCCTGTGTCCGAGCTCATGGAGGGATTTTCGAGATTTGAATTGACTGTGTGTAATGACTTGATGTAAATAAAGCGTTGTAAAAAAATTAGTCCTCAATCTATCTTTTAACCGATTTTACAGCGGTGAATATTTGAGCAGGTAATTTTGGCGCACCCTGTATGATGGTCCTCTGATAGGCTTATCATGGGATAGTTTCAAAATTACATGGAACTTTGAATGAAGAGCTACATATATTTTGGGAGAATATGAAATGCCATTTCCCATCTAGAAATTGAAACTGCTGCCTACTAAACCGTTTGCGATGGCAAAACAAAACTAACCCATTGACGACAGCGCGCGTTTTGGATTTTTCGGCCGCGTGGGACATGAGCGTCTTGAGCCCATGCGCGTCAAGATTTCCGACGAGGTACATTCTTTCGAAGGCAAAGCTGAGAGTCAACGTCAAAAATTCAGTATGTTGGTAATTGAAAAGAGTAGCCGATAGAAGGGTGCCCTGCTTGTCTGCTCCCTCCTAGCGAAGTAGGAACAGCTTTCATTTTCTTGTAAGGTGAAGGTAGGAAATTGCTATCTAGAGGCCTATGGGGCTGTAAAAAGGGAGAGGTGGGGGTAGTAAGACAAATGCCTGTCATTAGTGAAACCTGGAGTTTGTGAATTTGCACTGCCACACTGAACACTGAAAAGGTATTCCTAAAGAAATCAAGGGAAATGAAGTTGAAGAGAGGCCAACTTTGTTGCATGCAGAAGCGGAATGGAATTCTTGTGCTCAAATGGAGAGATAAAAGGGAATTGTATATGATCTTTACAAAACTTGACGCAGCGATGAAAGCGTCTCAGAAAACGGAAGTCGGGGACAACTACAAAGAAATGAAAGGATTCGTCGACCTGTCTGATCATACACGCCATTTGTGCGCAGAACGATGAAGTTTTCAAGACAAGAGAACAAAGAGAAAGATGAAGAGAGACAAGAGGTTTTTTTCACCTGATTTTTCGCAAGCAGCTAGTGTAAACGCTTGGAAGCTGTACAAAGATGTGGTGAAGAATAACAGACTAAATAAATTCGAACTGAAAATGATCGAATCTCTGCTGAATGTTGATTATAGTCTCACATCGAGTCATCACTCCATGCGACATGCGTTGGATGAGGGACCCGAAAGTCTAAAAGGAATCAACAGATGTGTGGAATGTTACGCAGCCACGGCCAAGGAGCAAGGATCTGTTATGGCATCGAAGAAACAAAAAGGGTGAACACGTGTTGCAGTTAGATGCAGGAAATTCTTTGCATTGATTGCTTCAATAAAAACAAGTCTTGTCACGTAAATAACGTAATTTCTTGAAGTTATTGTACCTTGTTATTGATTATTTATGATTATTTCTATGATTTATGTTTGTTCTGAAATAGAAGTCGAAGTCCAATTTCATCTGAAACTTTTACAAGGTTTGGAAAATCTTCACTGAACTAAACCATATTTACTCCGATCATGGACCACGTTTGTAGAAGTCTTATTTTTTGTCTATTGAATAAAGGTAAAAAAAGTTTAAAAAATTCGCGATTTCGAAAAAAAGAGTGGGCGCAAAACCTTGGCGCGCATGCGCATCAAGATGTCGTCAATGGGTTAACATAGAAGATCAATTTGAAATGTGCATTTGGCACAACGTGGCACAATGTCAGAAATTTGGCACAACGGTAGCAAGCGTCGTCATGGTGCGATGGTAGAGCTATCACGTTCCAGGGGCGCGAGTTTGTTCCACGTCAACGCTAAATTTTTTGTGCAGCATGTTTTCGTTCCTGAAAAGTTCTTATCATTATTTCTGACGTTCCTTCAAGCAGGGCTTGTATATTCAGTTCAAATGGAATCGCTTCGCAGGTAAATTGTATAGGGTGTGCACAAAACATCCGAGACGATCGTGATAAAACATTAAAAACATCAAACACAAAACATTAAAACATTAACATCACGAAAAGGAAAGGGTTGTCAGACGAGGCTTCGGTCGTGCGCAGTTGCGTCAAAAGCTGACTCTTCTGCCACAAATCTTATATGTGAATTGTTTTCCACTATCACCCTGGGGCCCGTACGATCAGCTCTGTGAATTTTCAACATACATGTCTCGTTGTGAACATGGCAGCCTTGCATCTTCACTTAACCCCTGATATACGTCCATTCTCTGAGTGTGGCCGCCCGTCGTGTCCCTCACAGCGCTCTGTCGAGACAGTTTTCGACCCAACGATGCTCCATATCGGATTTTCAGGATTGTAGAACGGATGTTTGCAAACCATTTCCATCGCGGACTGTAAAATGAAACGTGTTGTCCTTTTGTATCCAATGATATCTTTTTTTTACATTTCTGTTCATTCTGTTCCCTGCTCTGTAACGGACAACGGGCCATTCTTTCGTGGGGCCGAAGAAGAAAGGTACAAAGGTCGGTCGCATTGGTTAATGATGTAGCACCGACAGAACTTTTACGGAATTTAAAATCCTGTAATGAAGTGCGCATCAAGAACAGAACTGCACAACTCCACATGTATAACAAGTGTCGAAACATGTATTCACCTTGTGGTGCAGGTCTCTCAATGATGTCAGTATCACGGCAAAGTGACCTTGTGATGACATAGCGAGTGCCCAGGCGATCGCCAATTAATTCTGGCTCATCTTGATGTTCCAAGTGTTTTCTCTGAAGCCTCAGCCGAGGTATTATGATTTTCACTAAGCTAGCGTTCCAGTTTAGTCTCCTTCGTCAGAGCCTAGAAGACAAAATGTATCTAATATGCGCGGTTAAGGAACATGGGGATGGTCTGGAAAGTTCAAGACCTGAAAGCCCCTCGTAGACCACAGAAGGCACGGCGATGAGAGTTTGGGGTCTCAGTCAAGATTTTGATGCGGAAACCAAGACCTCGGAGCGACAAACGTTTGAATCATTTTGAACCAGCGCGGCAAATCCTAAAGCGGCAAGGAAAGATGATTGTCTAATCATAACTAGCTTGGTTCGTTCCTCGATCTATGTAAATTTCAACTGCACCAGGAGTCAAAGCATGGGCCAGGACACCTGGAGCCCATTTACTGCAGAAGGTTCGAACAGGCAGTTCTAAGTAGAGCAAAATCTTCATCTGATCATCCAAAGCCACCTGTTGTGATTTCAGGGTATCCATAGGTTATGCTTGAGTTGTACTCGAACTGAAGGTCCAAGACGTCATTTAGTTAAAAGAATCTAAAGATATTTTTGGCTTCTATTCTCAGGAGAAGTTAGGCTGGAACGTTAGCGAGATTGAGTAATAACATCTTGGCCTAGGTTTCACACAAAACCCCAAGGACATGCCGAAAAGTGATCAAGAGTATGGAATGTTTTCTGCCCCTGCTTTTCAAGCTTCGAAAATGCCTGCAGTGGAGATCGGGGAGTGTTGATAAAAAACCGGACGCGACAGTCACCTGTGGTGATTAGATGTTCAGTCTTGCGATGATTCTTTCATCTATGGTCGTAAATAAGGATTGATGGTTGTTAATAAGGTTTGTAGGATTGAGTTTGGGAAGAATGCGATTTCATGAATGCCGTGATTGTTTCACATGTTTTTGCTTTCATTCCAGTGCTGAGTTCCATTCTGACATACATAAATAGGGCATGGAAAACCGTTATTAATATTATCAATGGGTTGTCCACGGAACTCCTCCACTAGAGGCTCCATTAGAGGCTTTTTCTCACATGATGATCTCTAGTTGGTTACAAGGCTAGTGGCACAACTCAGGATGGCGGATCACCTGTATCACCTGACGTCGCATTGATCCTCGATTTCTTCGAGCGAGCGGCTGCAATGTCTCCACTCGACCCTTCTGCGAGCCAGAGTAGTACAGTGAATAATACTCGCTCGAAGGAAACTGGGCAAAACACTCCTTTCATTCCGAGCATTCGTGAGGAAGTTTGACCATCGGGTCGGCGGCCAGCCTGGTGTTCGTTTGGTGTTTCGAGAGATCCAGTCCGTGACTGCCCTGGTCCAACGGTCATCACTATATCGCATGATGTGCCCGACCCATCTGATTCTCGATTTCTAGGCGTATTCAACGGCATGCCTAATCTTCGAAAGTCGACGGAGCTCGGAACTATGGATTCCCTTCTGCCGTGTATAGAGAAATTCCAAGCATCATCCGTTCCGCAGAGGGTTGTGTGAGACTAACTGAATGTTCATCCTGCCTTCGTAGAGCCCCAGTCTCTGCTTAGGTTGAAGCAGGAAGAATCGCAGTGTCGAGAAGGTGAACGTGGAGCCGGACGTTCTTCGTCTTCTTCACTATACTCTCTCCATCCCCCCCCCCCCCCCTCACTACCCCGCTAGCCTACCATCTAAAGCGGTGGGAGGGTGAAACGTGCAGCGTGTTGACGTGTCCGCTTTTACCACTTTTATTTTCAAAAGAAACCGGGTTTTTGTAAATTTTTTGGTATTTCATCATGTGCTCTAATGCAAAGAACCGGTAATCCCAGTTATGCGAAAGTAGCCAAGGGAGATCATCTTCAAGGGATATCGAGCTGATACGCAAGCATCGAATCGCGCGAGATCCAGGCATTCATCAACAAAGGTCCGAACTTGTGAGGCGACGCAGAGATGCGATACAGGAAGATAGAGCAACACTTCAGCTGACGCCGCTAAAGCCGGCCGCAAAGGTTGACGGAGCTTCGCCAATCCTAAAACCAAAATGACTTCTCTTCGTCGTCCCGACAGAACACCTGCTGCATTTCGAAAAGCAAGGGAGGTCATAACTACCATTAAAAATTTTCGGTTGACAAGTCAGGTTGGGCAGTCATAGAGACGGTGTACCAATAAAGCCAACAAAGAAAAGGGATGCGCTTCGTTATGCGCGTCCGTTGAAATTGAATCACGTCGCAGTCGTCGCAAGCGGCGCGCCGGCGCGCGATACTTGACGAATGTCGCAGTTGTCATTGGGGCATACGATTTGCGCTTGGTCCACTGCAGTCAGCCCAAAGTGAAGACAACACGAACTAATGCAAATCGTTCGCTACACTGACACTTGGTGGTACTGTGACGTCATCTCGAGAC